AATTCAAACTAATTTCTAAAGTAAATTTAAAACTCTGATTAAAATAATTTACATTCCCTTAATCTTCATGTGAATCATCCTTCAACTATTCGTTTTGGGAATCTTATATATCTTCTGATATACTTTTTCAATAAGACTATCAAAAAATCTCGATACCAACCAGAGTGAACTACAGTTAAATTGCAGAAAGACCAAATGAAATGACTGCTAAAATATTAAACTTATTAAATTGGTGAAGATTGGTGGAGAACTTTAAGAACTTGAACTCGCTTGTCACCTATGACACTACACCTACCCGAGAAATTGCACACCAAATTTAAAATTTATGGCTCTTATCACAATTTATACTCTATAAAACCATATTAAGAGATTAAGAGCCAATGGTGAAACTTAACCTTGGAGTTGTATAGAATAAAGTGATCGACTCGGCGTTTATTCATTTCCACCAGTTTCTTCATAATTTTACTATAAATTGCAGCAATTTTTATTAAATATCAATTTTTTGAATAACAAATAAACCTGGTTTTTACAGCTACAGACGACTTCTTTTTGTTTTTCTGTTTATTTTAAAGCTTATTTTTATTTAAAAATGATTGAGATTCCTAAAGTTTAGCTTATCCATTATAGTAATTTGTTAAATTTTGAATTTTGACAAAGTAATATTTTTAAATCATCTACAACTGAAGCGCTACGGCACTATAGAGCCATTGTGAATATGTCGCAACCATAAAAGACTTTTTTGCCACCCCTTAATTAACACCAACGGTAGAAACACTTAAGGTGACTCTCATCAGAATTTCAGGTCAGGAGAACATTGCACGGTATAAAAAGCAGTTAGCCTAACACATCTACGTTCTATAGATATATCTCCAAGGGTGCCAGTTTACATTACTCTTAAAGCAATTAATAAAGGGCAGTCCAATAGTATTTATAAATCTATTTATATGGTATATGGGACTTATTTTATTTCTGCGTTTTAGCGTTATGGAATATATACAAAACACAGCTTCGGCTGTTTCTTAATTTTATTCGAGGAGGCTACTTGAATCGAGGTTTATTCATTCTATCTTATGCTAATTTAGGTGCAAGAGTTCTTATCAAAATTTTTATATCGCCAAGAGAATTTATGTGTATTTCAACAGTAAATCAATTCAGTTTGATATGCAAAAAACGTGTTTTTGGTTTTGATTTCCAAGATGAAGATATATCATAATCAACCAAATGAAATGAACTAATATATTTACACCCATTGTTTTCACAGAATTAGAAACCATCGCTTTTATATATATGATAGCAAAAACAGTGATGAAAACAAATTTTATAGCCAAGATGGCTGTATATGGCAGCTGTTTTTAACTAATTATTGTTAAACCGGTTTTTTTAACTGTAAATTAAATACTGGCTTCCATTATACAAAAGGAAACCGAAAACCGGTTTCTGAAAAAGTTCACTTTAATAGGAAGGCATACTTTTTATATATTATTTTTACGATTCTTCTGGTATATCTTGCTCAAAATACTCTGCACTGATGGCATTATAATCAGATTATGTACTATTACTTAATATTAAATAATAATAGGTTTTTGATATCTTCAAGAAATTTCTTAATTTTATTCTATTTTAAAAAAATACCAACTAAATTCACGTTAGCCTAACAATTAGCTCTTCTGTAGGCACCACAACAATTTTATTCTAGGTAATAAAAGTTCATTAAGATTACATTACTGCATCTATGGATATATCTCTTATATTCTGTATATAACATAAGATGTGCGTCATATCATTGTATGCAGAAGGCTGTGTAATTTTTTTATGGATTTGTAATATTTGATATTTTACGCAATAATTTGAGCTAATGTTATCATAAAGAAAATGTACAATTCTTGTTTCTGGATAGCTCTATAATATATGAGTTATTAATCTAACAGTAGAGCTATAAAAAGGACATAAATCTTTATTCTCTCAACCTAATAAGTGTCGGCGTGTGCAGTTTTTGTACTAAAAATGAAATCGATCCCAAGTTCTAATAGCGTCTGTGCAATATTTTTGGGTTTGGTTTCAAACTTATTATATTGAAGCTTACATAATGTGGTTTTATACCAGATCCATTCTTCGCTTTATTTTTAAAAAATTAATAATATAAAACCATTACAGATCTTTTTTACTCACTTCCTTGACGGATCGCTTAAGTGATAGTAAGTTTTCTGCTCCAACTATCTGTTTAATCTAGTACCCCTTAATATCTACATAAGCAGAGATCCAAATAATTATTAGCTCTTTAGAGTGTTGAATTGTATAAGATTGTCTTTTATTTGGGTAATAATTATGCCTTTGTTTAAATAGTCTATTTTATAACATATATAGTAGTCATAATCTGACGTGTATATGTAATATCTCAAGAACTATTTCCAAATGTTTTGTTTTAAAGTAAGTGATAAGATAGCTATATATTTGTTTCAAGCAGATGCTGTATCTTTCAATAGACGTGATCTATTATTAGTACTGAGTTTTGTACTGATTTGTATTACGTCACAATATAGTATTTATTAACTTGAGATTTTCACTTTTAATTTTCTGAGATCTTTGTATTGATAATGACGTAGAAGCAACACACAACTATGTTATTATGTTATTATTAATTATTAATTAATAATTAATAAGGAAAAAATATCTTTTATGTGTCGTTAACTATTTAGACATCTTTCGTTTACGCGTATTTAGTTTGTAGTGCATAAAATTCGTTCCGATTAATTTCACGGCCAAGTTTCTGTTGATTAGCACAAGCCGACTTTAATAGCTAGACAGATTCTTCAGTTTATGACTTTCGATGTTTATTTACTTAATAATTTTATGTGTAAAAAACTCCGTCACGTTTCTTTCAGATACTCGAATGTTATCTGTTGTTAACATAAAAACACTAAACCAATTTTAATGAATGAAAATAGTTCAAAAAGTTGATTTCATTTGAACTTTTACGACTGGAGTGGAGAGATTCGCGAAATGAAACTAAGTTCTCCAAAGTAGAGGGGACTCGTGTAACACATAAAAAAGGCTAAGAATATATATTTAGCATTTCTTCTAGCATAAACAATCTTTAGTTGCAGAATATTTGGTATAAATAGCAAATCAAGAAGAAAACTATTTATACGTTAATA